TTTCTTCGTCCTACGGATAAACGTAGAAAAAGGGGAATCGTTAGAAGCGCTTCTTTTGTTTTGAGAACAATGAGCGTAAATATTCATACAATGCGCTCTAATAGGATTTATGTTGTAGCTAATGAACTAACGCATCGGAACAAACCTATTATTGATTTGTGCACGGTGAAATAATTGATATTATTGATCTTTTCTGATCGATAGAACGGAAATAGGCGATTACGACGAAGTAGCGCTCTACCCTATTTCCACGAAATTTCACACATCCTTTGCTCTAGCCAATCGACGCGCTGCGCTTATTGCTCGCAATTTATTCGATCAGAATGGGAAATAACATTCAAAAAGTAAAGGCCACATCAAACTTTGTACAAAGATCCTTCTTGGAAAAACAAAATGGATGCAAGGTGTTTTAAATCATCTGAACGTTACAATACTAACTAGGTAGGGGAAATGGCTTTAATGATGAGCGATGTATCTAAAGATTTTTCCTATCTATAAAAATCTTCTGTTTTTCAATTTTTCGTAAAACAATGCAAATGTACAAAACAAATGGATTGCAATAAATACTTTCGCTCAAAATGTATGTATGCGCTTAACATTAGCGAAACTTAAGCCTACATTAGGGCCCTGAACCGCTCACGAGAAATGCGTGTTTTTTGATGATTCCTGGTTGATTTTATCTACTGATGAAATATGCAAAATTTTGATTCCCTACCAAAACAAAAGATACCCAATTCGGTAACATTGCACCATTAATTAGCATCCGCCAAATCCGTCCAGCCAAATTTCCTGTTTCTCTGCGGTTCGGAACAAAACAATAAATTAGATCCAGCAGCGTCAAAGCATTCAGCAAACTGTCGAAACAATAAAAGAGTAGCATCATACGGAATGTGAACAAGCTGCCGGGTGGGGCCCAGGCTGGTTCGGAGCATTCAAAATATTTGCGAAGCACTTTCCCACAATTTTAACTTCTTCGAGATTTAAATTTTTCGCGAACCGCAAAATCAATTGGGGATATCTCCGTCGGGTCTCCTGTTCGGTCGTCGGTGCTTGAGCTTATGTCTTATCCTTGAGTCGTCGTCATCGTTGTCGTCAGATGTGCAAACCGCAGAAGAATGGAACGGTTCACGATCAATTGTTGCTTTAAGGCCAGTCTCTCTGTTTTTGGGATTCCGATCCGGTTCTCAGGGATTCAAACGAGACAAGACAGCGAGCAAGGGATAAGTTATGTGCGAAACACTTTGTCTCTTGGACTTTATGTCGATGGATCCTTGAGAAAGAGAGATAGAGCAGATTGAAGGGTATTGTAGCAAGCAATTAATGTAGGGAAGAACAGCCCATAATGCACCCCTCGGATAAAATGGCCCCGCGCGGTTTTTCGTTGGTTTCCCATTACCAATTCTGCGGATTGTATGTGCCAGAATGCCAGTTCAAGTACTGAACTAGAAATACTGCTCTAAAAATTCACAAGGTAGCATTCGGAAAGCTATGAAAAACTGCGTGGGACTATTTTACCTCAGGGGGCGTTTTAGACCATCCTACCCTACTGAACAAGTTTGACCGATATATTAGTCATCGGATTGCCATGTTCAAAGATTGATTAAACCTAGAAGCGCTTTATTCGAGATTGCTATTCGACATACTTTGTAATACCCAGAGTCATCATTGCGGTGAAATGCTGCACTGGTGTACAGTTAGCTTCAATCTCCTGTAATTTCAACCATTTCAGCAACATTGCAGCATGTCGCATGACAGCTAATTGCTTTATTGATGTTTACCACCATTGCCACTTTGAGCCTTCGATACGCTTCCATTCCTGTGATTATTTTCGAACTCACATGCGAAAGTAGGTATATAAATCGATATCGGTATGATAAGAGCAAAATAATCGTCCCAACTATGTAGGTAGCCATCGTAGTTCCCGGAATTGGCAAAGCGCAGCGGCGATCATCAATCGAATCCTCTCTGCACCGCGAAAGGAAGGAAAAAAGTGCGGACTCTGACTTCTTTGAAGTTGCATGGGTCCATGCGCTAAGAGATAGAAAGAGAAGCGACTCCTTGGATTTACGGTAGTAGGTACCAACCAACCAGTGCATAGGGGGATGATCGAACGAATAGAAAATGATGGAAACTATGTAGCCGTATAGTCTCTAGGAATGTCACATCTGCTCGCAACGCGGTACGGTTGGAAGTATGCTTCATTTACTGACACTGCAAGCAGTCAGTGGTCGGTGGAACACGCACTGATAAATTGATGTTTTGATTTTTTGCCTCCAAGCCCAACGCAGCTTCGGGGGACTATTTTTCACTTACTTGCATTCTCTTATTAACTAATTAATTTGAAACTGTTTATGTTGGTGTGCTTTTTTGTCACAGCCGATGAAAATGATTAATTAAGTCGGGATTGTATTTATTTTCCTGTCGGTGTGGATGTAATTACTGGAACTAGCATCCGGCTAGCGGATGTTACCGGACAACTTCGTTGCGGATAATTGGTAATCGTATTAGGCTTTGTCAAATAGGAATAATCATTAAGAAACATGTGTCTCAGGACACCAAATAAACACTCTGATATTTTTGTTTTTCGATTATATTAACTTAATTTAAAGTTTGACATATGCATTAAGATGCTTCAAACTAAAGATATTATTCCACCAAATTCTAAATTCGGTTATAAATTAGATTCTGATCGTTTTCGCAAAATTGAAGCTCATTTGGTAGCGATTTCATACTACAAACTGAATTTTATAAGTATGGGAATTACTATGGGAATTACTGAAAAGGAAGCTTTTTTATTATCATCATCCTAGTCTTTCGCCATAACGAATAAGGGGTAAACTTGACATCGGTACCTATAAGAAATGTTCTCAGCTATAACATTGCTGAAGACTATATTTAATTGAAGATCAGGATTATTAGATGTTAATTAATTAGGATGATAAAGAATTTAAGACAGATTTCATTACCCATTAATCCCCAAGCAACACACAAGTTCTATAAAAGATTGGTTCTTTTTGGCCAATTATACTACTGATTATTCATAAGTCAACTAATCAGAGGCCTTGCAAAAAAGTTAATGAAGATCATGTGACAAATGACATATATAAATGGTCAAACATACCACATTCTTATAGGACCTACGTGGTTTGTCTTATCCAATGTATAAGGTTGATTTTTTGGCAAAAATGTATAAGTGAAATCTATGAATAAAATAATTAATTTTCGTTTCGTGTAGGAACATGAGATAAAAAGACTCAAGTCATAGTAATTCCCACATAGATTTCAAACGGCCAGTGCAGTATGAGATTGCACCCTAATGAGCTCAAATGTTGGGAAAGCGGCCAGGACCTGATTGAATATCGATTGAGCTGGGTGGAAATTTATGTCAAACTATAAATTAATTGAATTTAAATTAAAAAATAAAACAAATATTTATTACAGCATTCAAACGTTACAAAATTTGGAAAGTCGACGATAGATGCGTATCTGACATGATTCACGAGTTATCAAGTGTAAAACGGAATATATATTGAGAAGCTTTTAAATCGCGACAGACTACGATGGGCTGAATATGTCACACGGATACCGTAAGAGCGACAAGTGAAAGTTATATTCAGCAGAAAACTCAGCCAACGTAATCAACTGCGGGCAGATTTAGCACACATTATATTTTTACAGTTGATAAGTACATAAAATCACTTAACATCTATCTATGTTTACTGGAAGCGGTTGGCTTAGGAACGCCTTTAAAGAGATGAACTAGCCTATGGCTAAAAATCTCTTAAATAAAGATTAAAAAAAAAGGAACGGCTCCATTGGAAAAGAATGCTCCGTTTGGCTTAGGTTCATTGGGTTTCTTCCTTTGTCTGTCAAAGTTTCTGGAGAATCCCTAGCATCACATTTATCGCAATGGTAGTAGAAACTTTTATACGGATTATTTCGGCCATAAATAGGTTACTGAAACTTTTCGCGACAGAAGTGTGCTACTCGGGTTATAAATTTTCATAGTCTGAGAATTCATGGAGCTAGCTCAGGGGAAGTTGACGTGACATTACGTTAGTGCAGAGCATGACGAAACTTGACAACAAATTTTTTGATGCCCAAGTCAAAACACCCACACCTGCTGAAGGCTGCGGGCCCTGACGACATCGGGTATCCCTTGTTTAGGAGATTACCCCTTGTCGGCCGATTGGCTCTTCTTGACACTATGAACGAAGTCTGGCTTTCTGGCCAGATACCGGACGAGTGGAAAGAAGGGTTGGTTATTCCTATTCCCAAACCTGGGAAGGATAAAACCCTAACAGAGAGTTATCGACCCATAACCCTGCTGAGCTGCATGGGAAAAACACTCGAGCGGATGGTTAACCATCGTCTGTCAACTGAGCTGGAGAGGCAAGGACGGATCCACCCACGGCAACACGCATTTCGATGCGGCTATGGGTCGGAGACGTTCTTCTCTGAGCTCGATCATTTATTGGACAAGGCCTCGTCGGAAGATTTGCATGTAGATGTAGTCTCCCTCGATTTGTCCAAGGCATATGATATGACATGGAAGCTTCCTATCTTGACTTCCTTCAAGAGCTGGGACTTCCAAGGATGTATGTTTAACTACGTAGAAAACTTTCTACAGAACCGTAGGTTCCGAGTATTGAACGCTGGCGCAACCTCTTCCTCGAGGTTGCTGGAGAATGGCATCCCGCAAGGGTCTGTCCTCTCGGTTACACTGTTTCTCATTGCGATGAACTCAGTGTTTGAACGCATTCCCAATGAAGTATACATTATTGTATACGCCAATGATATTACCCTTATCGTGTTAGGTAAATACGGTTAAGCACAAGATACAGGATGCAGTGCAGTCTGTCGTTGACTGGACAGATGGTGTTGGGTTTGTGATTTCCCCCGAGAAGTCCAAACTGATGCACGTCTGCTTTGGTCTTCATCACAGACCAAGCCTGCCATATGTTAGTATCGGTGAGCATGCGGTCAAAGCCGTACGCGAGATGAAACTGCTTGGTGTGACTATTGATAACAAACTCCGATTTGTTAAGCACGCCAAGTTGGTGAAGGATAACGTCAACAACAAGTTGAATATCCCTCGGACCCTAAATGGTCGCTTCTCTGAAGCCTCTCGCAGTACATTGACCAAGGTTGCTAGGGCTCTGGTTGTCCCTAGCATCCTTTACGGGGCGGAACTGTGGAGCAGGGGTGGTGTCTCCCTGCTCAAGATTCTGGAACCTCAGTACAATGAGGTGTACAGAATTTGTAGCGGAGCGCTGAGGTCTTCACCGATAGCTTCTCTGTTGGTGAAGAATGGAAAGGTTCCTTTGGTGAATGTTGTCACCGAAGACCTGGCCACCAAGGCGCTTAGGCTCCTAGAAAGGGATCCCATTCTCAATGACAGGCCCACGGTTGCAAGGGCGAGAGAATGGTGGAGCGACTTGACGGGAGTAGATTTTCCCACGTTAGCCCAGCGAGCTAGGCTATGGCAACGGGCATGGGATGCTACTGCCCCAAAAGTTGATTGGAGGGTTAGAGCTATGTGCGGGGCGGGGACCAGCTCTGATGTGGTGAAAGCTACATTTAGAGAGGTCGCTGCCTCATACGAGGGAAGGCCCAAGCTATACACGGACGGTTCATTAATCGAAGAGGAAGTTGGCTATGTGGTGTCTGGGGAGGACATAAGCCGCTGCGGCCGGTTACCCGGTCTCTGTGGTATCTTCTCAGCTGAGGCCTATGCTCTCCTGCAAGCTTATTTTTAATTTGTCTGCATTAGCAGCATGCATTAAAGAGTCATTAAAAGATTATCTATTTAGAGCAAAACTGTTACTACTGTTGAGCAATAACCAGTCACATGTTATTTAATTATACATAGATGTATGAAAGTGTTTTATCGCCTATCAATTAAAGCGTAATTATTCATACTGTGTGAAATTTATTCATACGGCGACTTTTTTTTTCGTTATAACTTGCTACTCCTTAAAACTACCTCATTATAACATATTCTCCTAGATTGGAATTCTATAGCATAACATAAACCTAATGGTTGTATCTTAGCATTTCGTAGTGCGAATTGAGAGCGTTAAGTTATATTTAAGCTCTATAACTAGGTTGCTGGTTTTATTCGGTACAGCGAATCAAAACAAAACAAAAACCATGGCAACCTGTCAAAAAGTCAACATTCCAAGCGATCCTGCTATTTTCTCTAGTAATCAAGATGTAAGAAATGCTTATTGGATCTACAAAAAGCTTTTACAATACAAGGTGTAAAGCCGTGATGCAAATACTGGCCATCTCCAACCGGATTAAGTGAAACTGTCGGCGTTGTTTTAAGAAGGGTTCGTGGATCTTTCGGAAGTGTATTGGAAAGCCGCTTATTCAATATTTTTAAAAGCTCATTCACCGCACTGTGCCTTATGTTAAATGAGGGAGCCCATAACTGTAGATACTCCAGGAGTTTCATAGTGGCGATTGTCTCATCTTCATCGTGTTCAAAAACACTGAAAGGGTTTTCATTTCATGTATCTGAATAGATTTGTTTTTTTTTTATATTGGTAACAATTTTCAGAGATTTTTTTGTTATTGCTGTAGTATATTTCTTACTGTGAATCTTAGGACTCCGATAAAGATGATAGTTGTAATGAGGTTTTGATGAAGGTTATTATTATTTAACTTTATTAGGGAGGCTTTCAGCCTTGGGCTGGTTCGCCTCCAAATTTTGATGAAGGTTTAAGACAGCTTCAAGTTTTATATCGGTCATAAAAAGTATGTCATAATGTATGTTTTGTTTTGGTTTTATTCTGCAGTTATAAGTAGTGATACAGAGCCACCTTACAGCTACCGTTAAAACTATGAAGTCTGAGTTTTAATTTAGTAGTCATAAAACAGTTTTATATTCGACTTGATGGCTTGATTTTATGACAAGCACACAAAACCGTAATACAACCACAGGCTGCAAGGGATGCTATGATAAAACAATGATAAAATAAGAATAAATCTTTCAAGCATTTAGATTGTTACTTGGGGGTACACTACCAGTCTTAAGTATGGACTCGCTTAGAAAAGTATTGCAAAACTCACTTGAATATTGCATCACCTCCCAAAATGTTTAGCATCACCTATATCTCGAAATCCAGATAATGTACAAAGGTACTGTCTTCAGCAAAGTTGTTCAGAAGACCAAGGACGTCCGGAAAAGGGACAGTTTGATTCGGAATTCTGACAATACGTGCAGCTAGGCGTTAGTGTGCATTTGAAATTGAACATTTTTGAATTTATTTTATCTCGTGATCCCGACCACCAAGAAAGTTCAAATCTTCAGCAAAGTTTTTCAGAAGACCAAGGGCGATATAGTTCGTAATTCTCTCACTATAGAAAGTTCGAGTCATCAGCTAAGTTGTTTAGAAGACAAAATTGAGCTTTTTGTAATTATTTTATCTCTTCGGGCCACCTAGAAAGTTCGAGTCTTGAGCAAAGTTGTTCAGAAGACCATGGCTGAGCGAATAGTCACAGAACAGAAGTGGTACTTGGGATCAAAAAGTGGCTCCACTTGCCATTTGCGAACACTAGCGCACCTAGCGGTAGAAGGCATCTTTTTCCTGTAGCTAAGATAGGCAGCATGGATAGTAGACTGATGCAAAATTTGACTTTTTCGCTCCACAGTGCTAAATGGTTTCAAATCAGGTCCTGATTAGCCTCTCAAAGTAACAACTCATTTGGTTAGAAACAGACTTCGCACAAGCCATTTGAAGTTTACATGTAAATTACTATGGGAAATCTCAACTTTTTGTTCATTGCCTTCTAGTCTTTTCCCATATTGAGCTGCGAAACAGTTCAATAGCCATTCTTATAGAAAATTTTCTCAGCTACAACTTTGCAAAAGATTGTTTCTATGTAAAACGAGACAGGAAAATGTTATTAATTATTTAAGAGATTTGTAAACTTATGACATGATCAAGCAGCTGCTCTGTAGGCAACACTGTATTTTGCAGTGTGACATAGTAGCCATGATTTGTGTGTCCTATTCAACGCCCCAGAAACACCAATGTTGCCTACTGAGCAGTTGATTGAGCATGATCATAAGACATCAGCGCATTGAACCATTGATAACTTTAGATCCTTGCATTTAATTAAAAAGTGGTGTTAAGCAAAGTTGTAGCTGGGAAAATTTCCTACAAGAACAGTTGAAAACTTTTGAAGCAGACCGATATGGTGAATTATTAGGTAGACATGAACAAAAATCTTGGTTTTACCATAGTAATTCCCATACAAACTTCAAATGGTTTGTGCCATCTCAGTTTCTCACCAAATGGGTTCAAATTTTGAGAGGTTAGTCAGGATCCGATTTGGAATCGTTTAAGTATTGTGGAGCGCAAATTTTCAAATTTTGCATCACTCTAATGGATAGTGTGAGTGCGCATATAAAGCCCGTGTGAAACGCTACCACAACACATCGCTTGTTGAGCAGAAAAACGAACCACTATTTGATTCACCGATTTGTTTGCACTTCCCTTTCTGTGCTGTGGGATAGTACTTAGTTCGTTTCGGAATTACGTCACTACGTGAAATTGTGAAATTTACCAGATCTGAAAATCAGAAAATCGTTTGAATATGACGTGAATCACACCTGACCATTTTGGAATCACTTGAATATGTAGTTAATCAGACATGAAAAGCTTGGAATCACTTGCTAATGAAGTGACCTAGACCTGAACAGTTTAGATTCACTTGAATGTGAAGTGTATCAGGCCTGAAAAATTTAGAATCACTTAAAATGAAGTGAATTCAAACTGAAATGGTTGGAATCGCTTGAATATTAAGTTAATCACACCTGGGAAGCTTGGAATCACTTGAATATGAAGTGAACAATTTGGAATCAATTTAATATTAAGTGAACTAGACTTGAAAAGTTATAAATCACTTGAAAACACTACCAGTCATAAGTATGGAATCGCTTAAAAAGGTATTGCACACACACAAGCATGACCCAATTCAATAAAGCTCAAAATCACTTTGAAAAGAACTGAATAACTCCAGGAAAGTACTAAATTACTTAAGAAAAGGTAGGAATTACCTGATTGTTCCATCTTATCCCAACCTCAAAGTATTGCAATATACCCTCACCTATATACGTAAAAATTGTGAAAACAACTTTAATGCGGTATTTTTTTATATGTAGGCCTACTTTTTGAAAATCATCAAGCCTTGAACAGCATTTCTCACAGCTTTACCCCTTTGGGCCTAATGTTTTCTGAATCATCTTGCCCCTTAAATGCCACACAGTAGACCTGACCGTTTTGAAATATCAAATAGACAAGACAAATTATGGAGGTATATCCATCATTTTTCAGGATACCTTCAAGAACTGGCTGTGTTGGTGTTAGATTAGATTAGATTACAAAACTGAACAAAAAATTCAGCAGGCAGCGAAGATGACATTTGCAACCAAAAAACCCTGGGAGGTTTTAAAAATTTCTTGGATTTTACAAAACTAAATAGAGATTTTATACCTTAACGGTGAGATCCATAATAAATTCTGGTAAACATGACGAATTTCTGTTCGAAAATACATAGTTTGATCAAAAATTTCGATAATACAGGAATGTTCGAGGTTAATTTTAGAACTGTCAGTAAGAAGCTGAACAACCACCGACGAACCCACATGATACCGGAGTACAGGCTTAATGAAACTCCTCTACCTCACATGAGGCTAGCTCCTCTTGCTACTCTAGTGAGTGTATTGTACCCCTCACGTTAAGTGACTACAGAGTTGCCAGAGCTTCAACATAGTTCCCATCTTTTTTGAAGCTTTCATGAAAGTTCTACGACTTACAAGGACATTTTGCAATCATCCGGAAAGCTTCAGAAACACTGTACAAACTTCAATGATTTCAGTAAAAATTACTGACCATGAAGGCCGTGATTTTGTGTGTAGATTGGCACGTGCGTACCGCTAAACTATGCCTACTGAAGTGTCAAAACTTATCCAACTCATCCAACGCTAAACGCCTTACCAAAAACTACACCAGAACATCATTCCAGCGTCATGTAATCGTTTCAAAAATTTCCTATGCTCAACTCGAAACCTGCTGGACTAATGTGAGCATCTCCAATTCCAACAATTCAAATACCTCAAAAATGGACTCGTTTAAATTATCCCGGAATGTCGTTAAAGTTGCATAGAAAGGACGCGATCGAAAAGCGAGCCATCTACCTGCCTGCCACCTGCAACCTCGTTGGGCTATTTCATCATTAAATTAGAATTAATTTTCGAACCGTTTCGTTTCTCTCCTTTCTACCCAGAATAGATCCAGCGTAAATGAAAGCTATCTTAATCTCGAGCCATCCCGCGTAGCATCATGACTTTCTTGGCTCGCCTTATCTTAACGACGACGGCCGATGTTAAATATTAGAAGTTTGTCCGAACCGCAGTCAGTTTTCAAACTGATTCCGCTCAAGGGATTC